ATACAAGTAGAGACCGACTTCGGCTGTCCAAATGTAGAGAGTTAAATATACTCTATTTTTAAATTTAAAATAAAGAGTCTCTTGGAGTCTAATTTTATGGTTTGGCTCTTTAAAATAAAGAGTATTTCAATTTTAAAGAGTCTATTAGGGATACTTAAAGTTGCTAAAATTATAATATAATAAAAAGGAGTGGTGAATAAGTGAGTAGTAGTTGTGAGATTTACAAAATGTGTGGTTAAAATTAAAGTTTGAGTTTGACTTTTAAATTAGAAGGAAATTACAATGAAAGGCAAACAAGCTCTCAGTTTGTTGTTGTTGTTGAAGATGATGTAGGATATTAGGTATGATATTATTTGCAGTTATGATGACTAGGATACAGAGATGTTTAAAATTGGAAAACCTGTTATTGTCTAGCTATTATATAAGGATCTATGAACTGAAACCTGAAATTGTTTGTTGGCACTCTGATTTAACAGATTCTTTGTAAACCTCATGATGATCATAAGGGAAAATTTACCAGTTATTTTATATAGAACAACAACTCCTCAGAACGTCTCTATCGCTTATTTAATCACAAATATCTACATATCAGATTTTTTATTTTTATTTATTTATTTAATTTATAATGTCTCAGATACTGTACACGGTCATTTCTTTCCATCTTCATTGTGGAGTTTTTATTTGTAGATTTTATCAATTTTTACTGTAGGTGATCTTGGCCAAACATTTAATTCTCTGTCAACTATTCAGCATTATATGGAGACTGGTGCACAGACTGTCTTATTTGTTGGAGATCTTTCTTATGCTGATAGATATGAGAATCATGATGTTGGTGTCCGATGGGACTCATGGGGTCGTTTTATTGAACAAAGTGCAGCATATCAGCCATGGATTTGGTCTGCTGGAAATCATGAAATAGATTATATGCCCCATATGGTAAGGTGTAGAGAGAAACAATTTCCATTTTTCTCCAGTGAGAGACACTGGGGGGGTGGGGGGTGAACTTTGGAGCTCGTGTCTTTCATGTCTCTTAAGACACTTTTCCTTATCAAAAAAACTTTACCTTGTCAAATCTTTAATCTGGTGTAATAAGTTCTGATTTCATTTTCCTTTTGTACTGATCTCTACAACCCTTTTTACCTTCATGACTGTGTGCAAGACATGGAAAACTAATGAGACGTAATTTCGCCCTGTTTGGTAGAGATTCTTTAAATCTCAAATTTTCACAAACTTATTTGTTACCACACATTCTCCCAATAAAATTTTTTTGTAGGTGGACCATAAATTTTCCGTACATTTCAACTACACTTTCTCCAAGAAAACCCTTTTCACAAGATCTACATCAAACAGGCCTTTCTTTAATTTGAAAAATATTTCTTTTGCATCAATAGTTGGATAATACGAACAGATAAAGACGAAGGCACCCCCCCGTGTAAAAAAGAAGAAGAAAATATTGATGATTTCTACTTTGATCCTGACTACTATGTTATGTTTTCCATGTTCAGGGAGAGATAATTCCTTTCAGAAATTATCTTCACAGATACCCTACACCTTATCCATCTAGCAGAAGCAGTAGTCCTCTGTGGTATGCCGTGAGACGAGCATCTGCTCATATAATTGTCCTGTCCAGCTATTCTCCGTTTGGTAATTCTATATCAATACATTTGTACTTTCTTTTGTTTCTTTCAATTTGAAAACATGATACTTTGAACTTTTCTATTGAAGAATTCTTACCAATGAAATAGCTACCTTATTAAATGAACATTTGTGCAAATAAATGGTCGTGACTGGGTCTTCATATAATTGTCCTGTCCAGATATTCTCCATTTGGAATTTCTATATAAACACATTTGTACTTTCTTTTGTTTCTTTCAATTTGAGAACATGATACATTGAACTTTTCTATTGAAGAATTTTTACCAATGAAATAGCTACCTTATTAAATGAACATTTGTGCAAATAAATGGTCTCTTTCCTTTGAGTCTTTCTAATGGTCCTCTTCTTGAGTTGGAAACTTAATGTACCAAAGCATTTTCACTGAAAATTCATGGTTGATATATCTATGGAGTCCCTTTTTCTCTATATTGCTTTTCATGTGTAGTGTACAATACTGAGTGGTCAGTTTTACAAGTAAATATGCTGAGCAGAAACAGAGTCTGATCTCAGTTCGACATATCTGACCTTAAACTATAATGGCAGTATAACAATAGCAACGATATACACAATTTTAATGATGCTTTAGTTCATATTTCCTACAAAAGCGAAGACGTTAGGTAAAGCACTAGGCTCTCTGTTTAGGTAGTTACAAATGATTTTGAAAATGTATGAATAAATCTATATTCTACTTGGAGATCTGAGTTTATATTGATAGACTTTCTAGTTGAATGGTCTTTACGTTTTTTTGATTTTCTTCCATGTCATGCCAGTAAAATATACACCTCAGTGGAGGTGGCTTGCAGAAGAGATGAAAAGGGTGGACAGGGAGAAGACTCCTTGGCTTATTGTCCTGATGCACGTCCCAATGTACAATAGTAATGATGCTCATTTCATGGAGGGGGAAAGCATGAGAGTTGTGTTTGAGAGCTGGTTTTGCCAATACAAAGTTGATATCGTCTTTGCTGGTCATGTCCATGCTTATGAAAGATCGGTGAGCCTCAATATCCAA